TACACACTGGTCACAGAATACCCTATTTATATGAAGAGGTGCTTTATTTCTTCTCCTTCCCCCATATAGAAGAGAAGGAGCATATTTACAAAAAAGAAAAAATGGCTTTAAATATATAATAATGTTTTAAATTAATTCTTTAATGGAAATTGTAGTGTCACTTATGATATTACTAGCACTACAACAAAAATCATTCTGAGTTTGTCAAATCTTTTCAGTAAGCAAGTTATATTAATTTGCCAATTTCTGCAATAAGGAGACACAAGCAAAAAGCAAATACATCTAACAGTTTATTTTTATTTCTGTTTTCTTACAGTTTAGAGAAAACAGTACATTATAGTATTATGAACAAATTAAATGCCTCATACAATATATAAGTTGTCATGGGAGGGAAGATCCTTTCATGGACTGAGAACTGGTTAAAAGACAGGAAACAAAGGGCAGGAATAAATGGTAAATTTTCAGAATGGAGAGGGGTAACCAGTGGTGTTCCCCAAGGGTCAGTCCTAGGACCAATCCTATTTAACTTATTCATAAATGATCTGGAGAAAGGGGTAAACAGTGAGGTGGCAAAGTTTGCAGATGATACTAAACTGCTCAAGGTAGTTAAGCCCAAAGCAAACTGTGAAGAACTTCAAAAAGATCTCACAAAACTAAGTGATTAGGCAACAAAATAGCAAATGAAATTTAATGTGGATAAATGTAAAATAATGAACATTGGGAAAAATAATCCCACCTATACATATAATACGATGGGGTCTAATTTAGCTACAACTAATCAGGAAAAGATCTTGGAGTCATCGTGGATAGTTCTCTGAAGACGTCCATGCGGTGTTCAGCAGCAGTCAAAAAAGCAACTATGGGAGGTGAGTGTGTTACAGCTCCTAGACACAGAGCCTGCCTCTTTCACTCAAGTTGTAAAGGCTATCCTTTCAGCTCTGGAGATCGCAGCTTCAATCAGCCAAGATAGTGGTCATCCCAATAGCACACAAATTATGACCTGGATGTGTGATAAAAGTATTGCATGTTCTAAAGAAAGGGGACATGTGGGACTCAGAGGAGAGGAAGCCAGGGTGCAAGGAGAGTCAAAAGTGGAAGATTTCATAATGTACTTCAAAATGTGGATTTCCCAACAGCACACAAATTATGTGCTATAATATAAGAACTAGCGGCCACCAAGTGAAATTAATGGGCTGCAGGTTTAAAACAAATAAAGAGAAGTTAAATAAGGAAATGGATGACAAGAGAGGGCTCTCTTGATGGTTACCTGTTCTGTTCACTCCCTCTGGGGCATCTGGCATTGACCACTGTCAGAATACAGGATACTAGGCTAGATGGACCTTTGGTCTCACCCAGTATAGCCATTCTTATGTTCTTATATAGTCCACATAAATTTTTGACTGTCTCTACAATGTTTGCAGGAATAAATTAGAAATATCTTAAGGCTTTTAAGGAAATATTACAATAAAATGTTTTAGTAGCTCCCATCAGCATCCTTGGCACATCATCACTTCCCATCCTAACTAGCCATAATGATTATTGCATCATTATAGTGTTATGCGATGTACAGTAAATTTGCACTCAGTATAGCACTTTAAATCATAAAAATGTTAAAATTTACCAGATGCTGAATAATGTAACTTTAAACCTTTAAGGTAATAAGTATTTCTGTGTTATATTTCATATTCAATGGGGTACCCAGAGACTTCAAGGTAAAATAAATGTTGATTGCTGCTTTGTAAAATCATTGCCTGCTTTGCACAATATATTTTTGCAGGAAACATATTTCAGCAAAATAATTTACTAAGGCAAATCTTTTAAGCACAGGGTATCATATTGGGGGCAGCTGTTTGAAATGATTAGGTCACAAATACTGTTTTAAAAATAAATCGCATTATGTAAAATACAATGTAATTTCATTTCCTCCAATAAAAATACCTTAAAAATGTAAACTGTAAATGGACTATTCATATGAGTAAACACTTTCTATTTCAAGATCTTCTTACATCTTTCTTTAAAAATTAGTGGAATCCTTTTAAAAATGGAATTTTTAATAATACTGAAAATAGCTAACTAAATATGCATTTGTCCTGTATTACAGAAAGAAAAAATAAACAGCGTCTAAAAAAAAAAGCAGGAAGAAATTCTATCACGCTTTCAGTTGCACTGCTGAGTCTTTACAGTTGGATAGCATATCTTGTAGGTATGTCCATAGTCTTGAAGGTTTCTTCATGCAGTCTAACTCATTTGGTAGCCCACTCTCTAGCCTCCGGACTAAATGAACCTTGAAAAAAATTTCTACACATGGAATCAGCCTGATTGATAATATTTGCTCTGGGATGCAGAAGCAACAGTACTATTATTATTTTGTTACCATGCTGAATTGAGGCTTCTTCCACACAATTGTCCAAACAGATGCATAATATTCAATTTAACTTTTTGAATAAGAAATAAGAATTCCAATCTTTCCTTGAGAAGCACATCTTCATGTAATAAAAATGGATTCTTATACCTTAGGGCTACGTCTACACTGCATGCTTCTTGCGCAAAAAAAGTATTTGCACAAGAGAGCGTCTACACTGGTCACAGTGCATCGTAAAAGCTATGCGCTTTTGCACCCACACTGACAGGATGCTCTTGAACAAAAACTTCACCCTGGAACTACTTTGGAGAGGGCAAAAGAGCACCAGGACATTCTGGCAGATTTGCACAAGAGAGCGTCTACACTGGTCACAGTGCATCGTAAAAGCTATGCGCTTTTGCACCCACACTGACAGGATGCTCTTGAACAAAAACTTCACCCTGGAACTACTTTGGAGAGGGCAAAAGAGCACCAGGACATTCTGGCAGTGGGGCGGGGGCTGGAGCTCCTTTGAGACGCTTGCTTAAAGGGACCTCCCTGGACAATCGTTTTTCTCCTGCTGCGTGATTTGGGACCCCTTGTAGGGACTGAAAGCTGGAGCATTTCTAGTTGTTGTTGCCCTCTGCCTTATTGGACACCACAGCTTGTGCCCTAGTGCCTTTTGTGCATTTGGCCTTCTCATTGCTGTGCCGTAGAGCCAGGAGTGGCCCTGTGCCTGCTCTGGCACCATAGGGCCATGTTGGAGTTCCTGCAGCTGCTCCTCTATGCTGCTGCGCTACTCCTGCAGGAGCTCGACACCGAGCTCACTCTGGACTCCCTCTGCATGGATGCGGTGGCATCCCTGTGGCATTCCTACCCGATGGTGGAGAGGCGATATTGGAGACTGGACACCAGTACCGACTGGTGGGACCGGCTGGTCCTGGAGCAATGGGACGACCAACAGTGTCTCCGGAACTTCAGAATGCGAAAGCAGATGTTCCTGGAGCTGTGTGCCTGGTTCGCCCTTGTGCTCCTGACACATACCACAGTAGGGTTGCTTCAGTCTCCTATCTACATCTCCCTCCCTCCCATCACCTCCCAATAAACAAAACTGTTTTTTGTTCAAACAACAGAAAACTTTTATTTGTATTTACAATAGGGAAGAAGGGTGGGCAGTGGGAGGGGGTCTGAATTGAGAGGGGGAGGAAGAAAGGGCTCTGAACTGGGAGGGGAAGTTATTGCTGGGAGGGGCTGCTCCTGCCAGTGCCTCTGTGGGTGCTGAGGCCTTGCCATCCTTCAGGCCAGGTTGGGGCAGGCAGCACCGGGATGTGGGCAGGACAGGAAGGAGTGGCTGGGGGGGCAGCAGGAGAGGCGAGTAAGAAGTGCAACACTCACTGGAGGATCCTTCACTGGCCTCGGATGAAGCCCAGGAGATGTCCTGGCTGCTGACCACTAGCTCGAAGTGGAGGGTGATGGTGCTGTTGTGGTCGTCCTCATCCTCCTCCAACCTGGACCCGGTGGGCAAGTCACTCTCTTCCTCTACGTCAGGTGGCCTGGAGACTGGGGGGTGCAGGCTGGTGTCCACAGGGTCCTTCCATAGCTGTCTCCCCCAGGATGGTGTGGAGGCGGTCTTAGTGAAGCCAGGTGTTGGTTCCTGCCCCCTGGCCATAGGTGGTCCGGACATAGCCCAGGTGCCGCTCCTTAACCTTAGCCCAGACCTGTTCAACAATCCAGGCTGGATGTCCCTGCTGGGTGAGCGCCTGGGCCATGTGGCTAACAATGTCTGCATTGTGGCAAAGGGCATGAGGGTTGTGGAGGGCTTCCTCCTCAGCCCACAGGTCCAGAAGAGCCTTGACCTCTGGCTGGGACCAGCAAGGGGTATGCTGCTTTGTGACCCTCTGGGCCTGCTGAGAGCCCTGCCGTGTCTGCTGGGAGGAGGGTGCAGGCTCTCGGTGTCCCTCTGTAGCAGACATCTCTGTGGGGGCTCATGGGTGCAGCAGGGCAGAGCCACGTGGTGGAGCTTCTGGCTATGCTGATGCTGCCGCACGGACTCTGCAGGCTGCGTGTGGCTTTAAGGGGGCGTCTGGCAACCAGGAAGTAAGGAGCTGTGAGTGCAGAGCGTCCAAGTAGCCACTTGGCTTTTTTCCTGGGAGGCCAGTTCTTGTGCAAAAACTCTTGGCTGCCTGTCCACACTGACCTCTTGTGCAAGAACACTTGCACATGAAGGCTTCTTCCTGATATAGAGCATCAGAGCTCTCATTCAAGAAGCCCTGTTTTCCGATGCTATACTGTAAATTTACTTGTACAAGAATGCATGTGCAGTGTAGACAGCTGGCAAGTTTTTTCACAAGAATGGTTGTTCTTGCGCAAGAAGTGTGCAAGGTAGACACAGCCCAGGTGTTTGGTTTCATAATGGATCATATAGTTGCATAAACAGTCATTGCATTACTGTTAAAGAACTCATTACTTGATAAAATATTTTGAGATACTTTGAATATGAACCAATTTAATTCAATCTTATCTATGTACTAATTTAATTTGATAATACTTACAATATTAATGTGTATAGGTTTTTTGTATACATCTCAACTGTCATTACTAGCTTGTAGTTTTATTTTATTTTATTTTTATAAGGTGTGAACATATTGCTTTATCTTACCTCTGTATTTTCAATACATGGCAGCAAACATGTGGAATTGAGTTCATGGGGTCTGTCCACACACAGTTTTCCTGAGATGCACTTTATATTGTAGAACAAGCAAGCATCAATATCCAGTTCACATTTTTCACCTTCAAACCCTACACCATATAAAGAGAAAAAAATTAATGAAAACTTACACACATATATTGACATTGGGGCTAATCATGATGACAGTAGTTAACATAATACTTAAGAGTAATTTGACCATTTTATTTCTTGAAAAGGACACTTCAAACAAAGCATAAAAGCTGAGTCCTTGCAAAAAATTATGCATTGTATTACAATGCATTAAATCAAATTTTATGGCTACTGTTATATACGGAAATGAGTGAAAGAGAATTTAAATTGGTAAATTAAATTAAATTCTCTCCTTTTTAATATTGGTATTATTCAAGAAGTTAAATTTATCTGGACTGACTTACCCATGAGGCAAGTACACTTGAAATGGCCAATGGAATCAATGCATGTTCCTCCGTGTTTACATGGATTGGAATCACACTCATTAATTTCCATCTCACAGAATGTTCCTGTTTAAAAAGCCAAAAAATAGTATTTATTTCTCCCAATTTTTTTTAATGAAGGATGATTAAATTCCTAATAAATAAAATATCTAACAAATAGTTTATAGAGAAAAATATTTAAATTTTTAAACAATAGTTAAAAGCCCCAGACAAATATTGACTAAAACCTAAGGACTTCTTGTTTTAAGTATCTAAGAGCCCTTACTTTCTATTACTATCTGGAAAGATGCTTGCTTCCTTATAGAATAAGTTTCTTGAGGCTCTGCTCTTGCAGCTTGATCCAGTACAATAGGTCCCAAGCACATTAATCTACAGGTTGAACCTGTCTAGTGCAGCACTAACAGGACATGACCAGTGCTGAACCAGAGAATTTGCTGGAACCTGGGAGGTCAATATTAACTAGCATCATTACCAACATTTTCCCTGTTTACTGGTCTCTTAGAAGACATTTTAGGGGTAAATTAGACCTAAATATTATCACAGAAAAATAAGCACTGGAACTAGTGAGTATAATCAAACTTCATGGGACTGTGAGGAACTTGGCCACACCCATGATAATCATGCTGGACCATGGATGTTGCTGCACCAGAAAATGCCAGACTAGAAAGGTTCCACCTGTAGTTGAATGATTGAGGCTTATATGTAGGAACTTCCATAGGAAAAATAAATAAATAAGAACAACTGAGACAATACCTTTTGAGGTATTGAGGATCTTTTTTCTACTGTTTTTTCTAACAAGGATCCACAAAGATCTTTAGCATGGATAAGCCCAGAATGCTGTTCTGTTTTTTCTGTGACTCATTTTTTTCTGTACCCCATCTAGTGGTAGAATCCATTTGGCTTGGAAAAATGATAGCTTGTCATAGTGATCTGTTATCTTTTGTTTTATACTTAGATTGTAAGCTTTTTGTGAGCAGTTCCTTTTTTTTAGTTCTGTTTTTCTACAGCACTAAGCACATTGGGGTCTTGGATCATGACTGGCTGTCCTAAGAGTGATAATAATTAAAACAATAAATAATAACAACAGTAAAAAAAAACCTCAAAAGATTTGTCAGAAGGGAAACACAGAAATTCCTATGGAGTATAAATGTGGTTTCAAAATGAATTTTTCCATATGTTATTTACCAGAGGTAAAATGAAAGAAAAACTAGGGAAAAATCCCTCTGATGAGCATTATTGCACAATACAAAACATTAAACTGCTTTCTGGAACCTCTAATACTTTCAGTTTTT